ATTAGTCAAGCTTTGCAATATGAAAATTTGTAAAATATAATTTTTTTTTCAACATTCGTTGACCTCAGAATATACCGATAGTTTTTGTTCTGACTCGCCTACAGCGGTGTGACCAAAGGTTGTGCGTCGAGGCTAAAGGACTGCGGGTCGTGGCTAAAGTTTGATGGGAAAAGGTGTAGTTGAGCTAACTCATCTTGTTATAGAACAGACTTCTATCCGGTATGCCCTTCAGCTTGCAGACCATATTTTCCCCCTTATATCGCTACTGGATAGGCGTAATCTTTTGTGACCGCTGATGAACAGCTGACTGACCAATTGCACTCACGCGTTTTATGCTGACAATCTATACGGAAAAAGTGTTTTCCAATTCCGTAGAACAAAGCAGTACACCGATAATAAAGTAAACTTTAGTCAGCAAAGTCGTGTGTAACGGCCAACAAATCACACAGGAAATCTATTTTATTCCCAACGAGACGTGTCAGTGACGTGCTATTTTTTAGACCTTGCTGACGGGACTCGATTGCCGGACTACAATAAACTGGTGTCTGTGAGTTCGCATGGACAAAACAAAGAAGTAATTGTTGTGCATCCGCGCAGTCCAAATGTTGACCATCGACCGGGGAGCTCTCAACCCGAAAATTCACCACTTGCGACCGCAAAGAAAGACGAAAATGGGACACGCTGGTGATGAGTCTTGCAAAGGATGAAATAACGGTCTAATACCCCCTATTGACAGGTAGACACGGTCTCAAAACTATCAATATCTGTTAATCCACTGAAGAATTCACGATCTTTCTCACAATGAAACGAAAGTGCAAGTCCTGATGTCTGTGAATCGGTACGGGGATAAACCCGGGAATAATTTAACTAAATCATTACCCAGATAAATCAAGTAAACGCCCTGTTTACCTCGAAAGATAAATACCCAACTGTTGGATAGCCATTCTGACACGAGAAATTAAGTTATACATAAATACTATAATGACGGTTTGCAAACCTTTCATCAAAGATGGAGTTCCTTTGCGGGTACACAGGTTTATTGTGCAAGCGTAGATCAAAGATGGTGCCAAAACCTCTAAGATCATGATGAAAAGCCTGAACATGAACTTTCGAGATTTTTAGAGAGAAGTTCCCTATATGAATTATGGCCGCTGGAGATAACACATACGACGAGTTGCTCACTGGAAGTCCCAGTACAATTAAGCATGTGTTGGACAGACGCGGGGATAAGTCCAAAGTTATTTAAAGGTTTTTGTGCGATGGAAATGGTTGTGATTACCAACAAAGAGCACTGGACAGCTGCTTGGGACTCGAACGTCATCAACAGTGCCTGGTGCCTGTGAAAAACCGAATGGACTAATCCAAACATTCATCATTTAAAGGTTGATTAGGAAAGATTACCGGAGAACAATGAAACGGACTAGACAAAAAATATAATCAAAACGGGATAAGAAAAAGATTTAGGCGTAAATATAAAATTCTAGCTTTCTGGTTTCTGTAAATACTGTCAAACCTTTAAACCGGCCGTTCGCTTGTGGGCAATTCCGTCCTGTTATACGTATGCTACTTATTATAAAACAGTAAATTGGCCGTGGTTGGACGCATTAAACCCACAACTTCCAACTCATGAGCATTGCAATGCTTCTTCGAAGTTGGATTATCTAAATTCAACTCCATGATATGAAAATAAAGTTTGCGTTGCCTAAAAAACGAATATTTTGGGTAGTGAAGTCAGAGTGAGAAAAAGTAACTTTTCAACTCATCTGTTTAATCCGAAGAAAATGAGATCGATGGAAGCAATGAGGAACTTTTTTGGCGGAGTAGTGATGGAGTATATCTTACCGTGGTTGAGTTTTAGTCTCAACAGGGCGATCTTGTTTTAATTCCAAAGTTTTGGGAACAATTTTCTCTACCTGTTCCGTTTCATTGACGTTCGCCGGATTCATCTGTCCCGTCTGTGTGGTTTGAATACCTCTGTCGTATGTCGCACTTTTGCTATTGGATCATGTGATAATGATTCAGCATGAAGGAGACGCTTACCTCGTATTCTGAATTAATTGTTCCAATTCGCGTACTTTCGAATCAAGTTTGGTCTGCAATACGTTATTCATTTCTCTAAAATATTGATGATGAAAATGGACAAGATAAACAAGTATATCCGATAGGTTCCACTAAACAGAAGTGATAACATAGTGATTCCGCGGGGGTGTTCTCCAAGATCAACCAAATTATAAGTGATACAATAAAATGAAAATCATCATACTTTTTCAAATAACAGAAGAATAAAGAATTTTATAACTGGATTATTCAAATGGATTTTAACCATACTGAACACCATATTTGACTTCCTTACAACTGGAAGATCTCTTAACTGTCTATTTAGGATTGGCTCACAGAGGGTCATTTATGATGAACAGCATGCATTTTGACCACCGCACTTTTGGAATTTGTAAAATGAAATAATTCACTGACGGCGAAATATCCGGTGGCCATCAAGTAGTTTGTATACCTACTTAGGAGCCCGTTGTGAATCTATTCCACTTATGGCAGCGTACTTTGTATAATACCGTAAATGCATCATCGTGATCTACAAAATCATTTTATGCTTCATTATTTCTTGCAGCCAAATGCTTAAAATTCATCCACCAACGATTTTGAATCAACCTTTCATTTTCCACTTCGTGAGCTTTTCAATACCAGAACGTGATGCATATTAGCATGCATGTACTCCTCAAACCCAAATACAGAAGCAGAATAGGGGAAACGGGATCGAATCAATTTCGAATACTGTTATCGAATTGACGCGCCTCCAGTAGGGCTCCATTTGCACACGACAGAAAATACCGATGGATTTTTATATCTTGTTCTTCCTCATTAAGTACGCAAGACGCAGTCTATCTTAGGTTGCATGAGTTTAGCTCTACCTGTGTATTTCGACCTCGATTCAGGTCCAGGTAACTGATCAGTCCTTGAATCATAGCAACTAACTACACATGCAAGTAAAGCACGCTAGTTTTACTGATGTCATTGAGAAATTCAAAATCTAATTTCATGAATCAAAGGATTTATAAAGCTGTTGAAGTGAATATAAAACCTTAAATAGTGTGGAATTTTACTTGATGGTCATGTTCGCAACGCATAACTTTCGGTACTGATCAGCTTATCATTTTCATTTATGCCCATCATTGAGTTATTCCCCCATGATCCTATACTGTTTCGCTGCCATTTCTTGGTTTCTACAAAAATAACTTAACGGCCTCGCTTTGTGATCTTTTGGTAATTATTCTCACCTTTGGTATTTACATTACTGACCTACTCGAACAGTTGTGCGAATAAAAAGTGGCTTTGTACAAAACGTTTGCTTTCAACATCCTTGCTGACCCTCCCATTCCACTGCATGCTTACCTTTTAAAAAGTTGCTCTCATCCCATTATTCATTCCAAATGCCGATGGCTTCCTTCACAAACTGGACCATACAGGAATTCTGCTATTCCTTATTTAAGACGTGTACATTTCGATGAGAAGAAGGTAACCAATTATCTGTACTCTTGTCTCCGATTTTCCTTCGATTATTCCTAACTTCCACTGATTGGCTTTTCACTTTCTTTTTTGTGAACACGCTCTGTGGGGTCAGTGAAAACACTTTTGACTGAGTTGCTGATTGAACAGATTGGAAAAGTTAAGTAAACGCGAAAGGCAAGTGCTTTTTAAAGACAGCCGGGATCTAGAGTTCTGCAGTGAATTCCATAGAAAAAATACGGCTTTTGTAAGAAATGTTCCATATGGCCGGAGAGAAATGCTAGTTTAAAGTCTAGGGGGCTAAAAGAGTCTTGGCCTGAAACAAAGTTTTACAGAGGTCCCGGCAAGGTTCACAAGTATGTGGTGTATTCCGCGATAGTTTAGACAGTATCGTAGGGAAATTTTATGAAATATATTTTTATAAGAATAAATGATTGAGACGCACATGGAATCTCATTTGTCCTCAGACCACTGTTTGATATGTGAATTAAGTATATAAAATCATTGAGTCTTATCGTTAAAGTCATCAGAAGCATGATAAACGTGCTTTCTATTTGTAATAGTCCCCTATTCTCTACATTCGCCAAATTCATCGAGACTCAAAATCGGCCACGAAGAATGGCTAAATCGATACAATAAAACAGCGGGATTTGACGTCTGGTTCCCAGCAGCGTGCTTCAACAGACCATGAGATGTGATGTTCACCCGTTAACCTTAATTGATAACTCCCTATTTTATTGATTATCAAAAACCTTCCGTACCACTCTTTATGAATAGAAATATATTTCTAGTTAAATTTTATTTTATTATTATATTCTCTATTCAAAATTAGTTTAACGAGGGTCATCTGCAATCGCGTACATCCTAAACCGCCGGTTCTACAAACAAATCGACTGATGTTTTCCTAACTTGCGTAGATTTATACGCTTCGGCACAGGCTAGCACGTGCTGTTCTTGACTAACTGCGGTTACTGAACTTATTCACAACTACTTGTTACCAGTGAAGTGAGACACGTGTTATGAGTTTTCGTTGCCCTCCCGTCGGATTTCACGTTCCATTCCCAGTTCGTTTAACCAACTATACCTTTGAGAAGCACCGCACTCAAGGTATACTCTTTGAACAGACCATCAAAAGTTTATGTTCACCGGTTAGCCCTCAGTTTGAACAACTACTAGAAGGAGGTGACCTAAATTACAGATTCATGTTTGTTCAGATGGCAATCTCACAAATAGCAAATCAATTATCGGTCTAAAATCTTCCTAGAGAAACGGCGTGTATCTTATTTACTCCAATAGAACTCTCCGGCTTATCGAATTCTTCATACAGGTTTGGGTAGATGCCATCAATTAAAAATCCTCAGGTTGTTTAGGATTTTTGACTTGATTCATAACTACTTGTGACCAGTGATGACACTGTGAGTCCGAAATTCAGACCTCGAATGAGCTGGGAATTCGACCTCGACCGTCAGAATCGATGGGTCTGATGACAATTTGCGATCTTAGGTTTTTTAGTTCAACAAAGCACAGCCCTAAGGTTTCTGGTACATCGAAACTTTATACCACACTGCCCTGTAAACATTATTCATCGGTTTGTTCATTGTGATCTAACGTTTTCTAAGCTGGGTTAAGATTTACCCATGGAGGGGGGGGGGTGGACTTATGGCGAGATTACGACAATAATACAGAAATACATACTGCACTTCGGAACGAGAGGCATCCAACTTCTGAGTCAAGAGAGCACAATCTTGCTCAAGGCGTATCTTGTCCTCACGACAGGAGTCCAAATCTCTGGTTAGCTTGGCGTTTCTTTCTTCGAGGTTGGCCACCCGTGACTTTAATCCTCGTTGATCCTCCTTCGTCTGAATTCAAAATGATAGAGAAGTTAGAGAATTATGATCCTCACAACAACTTTCAGGCCTTGTGTTACATGGGACAATAAGATATTATGAGCAGCAAATTTAACGAGTTCATCAGCTTTTAGAAAAACCAATGGTCTTCAAGATATTATCTGTCGTGTAATGTCAACCTGACACATAAAGCTGAAAAGAGTGGAGTTATCGAACCGTTGAGTCTTTTTTGTCAGGAGACATGAACAGTGCATATATGTGGGATTTCAAACGTCAAACAGCAGAGCAGAAAATCATCTTGTGCCGATAAGAGACAAGAGAGTCAGAGTCAGCCTGGATTGGTTAACGCTCTGTGTGTGTGATTGCCAGTCCTGCATTTCATGGTTACACAAACCATAAATTGGTTCAAAAATTAGGTTTTACAGTCAACATCAGAATATCCAAATGATATATGAGTTTGAATAATATGAAAAGGAATATCAGCATCGATTAGGCTTTTGACTACTATCAAACCTGAAATTATGCCACGTAAGATTGTTCTAAGAGAATCTCGGCAATACCCGAGGGGACAAATACAGGTTTCTTTCTTTTGCACAATTCGAATGCGTTCAGTCTTACAGTTGTGTCGCTTCTAAAGTGCTCTTCACCATGTTTTTATCACTTGACAAGCATGATGTATATTAAAGTGATAAACTCCCCTAATCAGAAAATACTGTACAGTAAAGATGAGAGACCACTAAACCCTAACACAACTTGCTGTTTCTGAGCTTGATTTCAGAAACGTTCTTGGGAGGAGGGTGATCAGGGTAAGGAACAGTGTTCCACAATTGTAGTGCTTTTGACAAAAAGAGTATTTAAAAGCCTAGTGGGGAAAACTCAACGTTTGTGACCAGGTCTCATGGACAAATCGAACTGGAGACAGGGCCAAATGGGCAAGATACAGATAGAAAACTTCCGACGTTAGGAAGTTGACCAGACAGTCGATTATTCATGGGACGGGCAAGTGTTTGAAGAAAGAACGTTAGAGACAGATTTTGGACAATGCGAATGGGTTTTAAGCTGAGCACGACCCAAAAGTGCCAAACAAAAATAGGATGCTCCACCCCGGACGAGGATAAAATAGTTCAAACAGAAATGAAATCGGGGGTTGTACATAGCGAGAAGCTGAGAATGAGGAGAATATAATTCGGGCGGAAAAAGGTGAGAGATCTCAATGAACTCGCGCAATGCAACTTCAACAATGTGAGGGGACCAAAGTATGAACAAGTAAAATTGAAGAGGGAAAATTTTAAATTTAGGGTAGGTAGAATCATGTGATTAAGAGAGTTTGAATGCAAATTTGAAATCATCTGAGATGGTGATCTGGGCGTTAGGATCTGATTGCAATATATTTTCCATACGCAACGAAAGAAGGTCACACACAGGACTGTTGAGAACACGCAAAGGAGAGCAAAAGTATTGCATACGAAGTGTCAGCCTCAATAATTAGATATTGCAGTTGAGAACATTAAGGATACATAGAGAAATAATTGGCGCTGAAATGTGAATCAAGTCACACACGAGATAAGAATAGAAAGTATGAATAAAGTATGTAATGCGGACACAGGGGATGTGAAAGATCTGAAGAAGCCGACTGGGTACCGAAGAGGAAAAAATATGAGGTCTAGATTCAACACAGTGATGAACACACCCAATGTTTTGGTGAAGATCCCACGAATGTTGATGAAGACTAGCCAAGATGGCGCGCATCGTGAGCACGCAAGCTGTAAATCCGTGAAAAGTGGTTTTTGAGAACTGGGAAATCTGGGCCCTGTGGCGTGAATTTGTGGATCACATAAGGCCTAACCGAGAAAAAAGTGATTATGCGCCGGGCGATAGTGGAGCTGTCTAAAATCAATTCTGCATGCAGTAACGACATTTGTTGTGAACAATAGAGGAGATGCAAAAGAACAGTTTAAAAACAAATCAGCTATAAAACTAAGCAAATAACATAATAAAAAGTTAGATTAAAATTCAAGATTCTTTCGATCAGTTATGTTTCAGTTTTTATTCGCCGTAGTTATTTAGTTTTTTTCTCAAGAGGGAAAGACAATTTTTTACTTAAACATAGACAAAGATACAGGTAAAGCACATTACGCGTTAATACAATCCAGTGCAATCTAACCTTAAGTAAAGTCTCAGATTCTTGAACATGCGACGATCTGATTTCTTCCAATTCCCGTTCCAGTTTGGCAGTGCGTTCACATTCAGCCTTGTAACTGGCTTCAATCAGGCGCATACTCTCACGCCATTCATTCGCTTGATTGGCCAATCCCGCTTCCTGATCCCGTCGCAAACGGGCCGCTTCTAAGGCGGCCTGACGCAGAGCATCAGATCTGGCTGACAATTCGCCTTGCAACCGACTCACCGTTTCCTGAAGTTGAGCACGTTCTGCCTGCAGAATAAAGGGTTTTGAAGTGGTCAAAAACTTGGATGGCGATACAACACTATCAGTGACAACTAAGAAAATTATCAGTAGCCAACTGCTACTCAACCTAATCCATGCTAAGGAACATTTTCGAGGAGTTAATACTACATATCTCAACTCAGCGGATTTATTTTACTGCGGGAAATTCATCGCCTAATGATGTAGACAGATTGTTTTTATCCCTTATTTCATTTTCTTATTTTCAATTGACTTCCATTTATTGAATATACAAAGATACAATTTTCAGGAAAAGAGGAGCGGCCAATTAAAGGGCTACCATACAACACACATGACGGAGAAAGACAGGCGGTGGTGATGGGATTAGAACACACGTCCTGCGTGTTGATAATTGGTAACATTACCACCGGGCCACCATATTATATTATATATTATATATATATTATATTATATTATATATATATATATTATATATCATATTAGATCAAAGATGGAAATTAATGCAAACTTGGTGAATTCTGCTGTTCGCGCGTGGTCTAGGGCAAAATAACACCTGTGAATCATTATCTGACTCAGAGGAAACTTATCGTAATATTCCGTCACGACAAGTATGTTTGAGTTAGCACATTCATAACTCGGAGAAGATTGAACTTACTGAAATCAGCCTGACTTTGCGATGACAAGTTGATTCATTTTATCAGATAGTATGTGTATTGTAATCTTTTTATAACTGAATTAAGAACATTTTTCCATTCACTGTCCGCGTTGTCCATTGCAATAGCCATCGAGACAACGAATAAAGTGATGTGTAGTCAGATATATGACAGTGTTCATTAGGAGTTTGTTTTCATTATTCATTTGTGATATTTTGTCCCAAGGCTAAGAAGAGAAGAATCTATGCTGAAGCTGCTTAACACAACACCGTACAGTAGTATTAGTCTGATTATCCTGACTTTGTCTTAGGTGTTCAATGATTTCACCCCTATCAGAGTGGATATGTGCTCTGCATGTTTCTTATTCATCAGCTCATAACTCTGTGCCTCAGACCCCTTCCACTTGGAATGCTTTAACCTTTTATCTGTACCGTTTCTCGTCTTGAATGGTTGGTGTATTAATTCTCTCAACGATTTCAGCGAAATTCATAGACGTCGCTCAACAATTTTGGTGCACCATAAGGTGCTATCTTATCAATTTCTCTTCTGCGACTCATATTGGGGAATTACTTGTTACACATCCTTTTGAGAATTCTAAGTATATTAGCTGCCCTTTCTATTGCTTTTTCTAACAAATTCTAGTTAAAAATATGCAAAAAACATTTGGCTCGACTGATTACATGCCACACTGCTGTCGATTTCAATCTTGGAGCTAAACGCGGAAATATCTTCTCGCCTTTAACTGAAAAGTTACAGGTTAAAAAAACCAATAAGTGGCCTCAATTAGGTCGGTTATTTGTGTTAGCCTTGAAAGTACGTAATCTTCATCGACCTTTACACTCAAAGGCTGTAATTCAAGCTGATAAGACTCTCATAACTGAAGAAGATTGGGTCACATTCTCTGTTCAGTTGCTGACAAAATCTATTGCTCAACGGCTTGATTTCCCTACACATTTATTTTTCTTCTATGATTGCCACTAATCCACTAACCTACGGTCCCAAAATGAGCAACCGTGTTTCATGAGGTCCCTCGTTGGTTCTGACAGGCAGTATTCGAAAAGAACATCTTGATGCTTGCATGTAGTTTGTTCAAAAAATGTTTACCCTACAGTACCCGGGTTTGCACGTTAACTTTCCCCACTGTGAATTTCATTTCTTCCAGTTTAGCAACTATGATTTATCCCGTAACACATGCCTGGGTACACAAACTCCTGCGTCTGACTGACAAGAATTTTTTGAATTCCATAACTCTAAAAGAAGGTCGATGACGTGGTAATTGGATTTCCCTCGTCTGATCTCGACAGTNCCAAAACTATCTAAACCAAATTTTTAGTTAGTCTGCGTCCGCAATCTCTGCCGATGAATGTCGATAAAACAGGTACCCGTTAGAAATGATATGGAATAATTGTAGATCGGGATGCAGATGGTGTTGGTGAGTTGTTTGAGCTGGAAGTGATGTTCGCAGACGCTTCGTAGTCAAGCTAGGCAACATCATCCACGAAGTCACACTGATGATGACTAAGAAACGTCTGCGAACAACACTTCCAGCTCAAAGAACTCAACAACATCAACAGATACCCTTTAACAGACACGTTTCAGTAATCTGCCTGAACTTGCTATTAAAAATACCATAAATCCAAAGGCTAACTCCATCAATTATCTTGGAGTCACTGTGCCTCAAAATCCTTCTTGTTTGAAGCATGCTGAAAACATTTATATCAGGGTTCAAAGATTATTATCTACGCTTTTAGACTTGAACAGCTTGCCGTTCCTCTAAACACAGTCCTTAAATCTATCATAGTTGGCATTCATCCACACCAGTTGAACGGTTCCACAGTAATTTTTCCGGTTGAAAGGAGGAAGACTTGATTCTCTTTTCCAGATCTGTTAAACACTTTTCCTGTTGCAATAGCGTTTCTAGAACTGTTTATGTTGATCTCATTATGTGCAAACATTTTGATGCATGTGATCTATTCATCATTCATGCATTATCGAACGAGAAACACTGCCTGCACAACCATCTCAGTAATTGTCTCTCTTCTCTGTGCTCGTTCCAGATTAAGGCTTCCTTTTGCACCTACTGCCACAGATCGAAATAGAATCAGCCCTTGTCTTGCCCGGATCTTAGTAGCCGGACAACTATCATTAATGACTAGAAAAATCACCTATTGTATTAGTTTGTTTCTATTGCATTCAATTGTTTTTATTAGTTAATCGTTTCATGTACACGCCTCAAGTCAGTCAAATCAAGTCAAGAAACGCCCAAAGGGTGATTTTTCAGCAAATCGCGAACGTGTGCAGTGGATACGTGTAAACTGTCATTTGAAAATACAGAAAATGAATTCAATACTGCAGTAGAAAAAAAGTTGACAGGTGATAAATGTCGTAAGATAAACCAAGAGCCGAGCCAGGTGAGAAATTACAATGTTTTCGCATAAAGATTTACATGCAAAATATTTGATATTTCAAGCGAGTTCGGAAATTGGACACGGATTCCACGAATTTGCATTGCAAGAAAGTACCATTTGCTGAGTTTTATCCTGTCAATAAACTTAGCATAACCGTCGAAAAGCTTAAAAACAAAAGTCAACCAAAACAACGCTAATAATTCCAATTTGCCGGAATAAAAGTCTAAGGGATCTGGAGAACAAGGTGAGATTTTTCTTAAAAACCGTGGATAAACATCGTGGAGAAGCATAACGAGTGTGGAAGGATGCATGCAATCACGAATTTAGTAATAAGCTCGAGTGAGACGATCAGTTTTCTGAGCCTGTATGCATAAAAAAGGAGAGTTTTCGAACTGATTATCGGTGAGAGTGACAACAAGGTATTTAACAAAATCAGATGTGGAAATGAATTGACTATCGCCTACCAGATGAGGGAAATTACTTACTAATGCAAGACTGCGGGGTCCGGATTAAAGGGAGNTAAAGGGAGCATCCATGCACTTATTGATGTTAAGCACTATACCTTTTCAACCTCAAAAGAATCCGCCGTAACTTCAAGTGAATCCACCGTTACTTCAAGTGAATCCAACCAATCGCACTCCATTAGAAACCCCGACAAGATGTGTTTTGGCCGTCAAATGTCACCCAATTGGACCGGGTCCGTCTGAACCCCCTCCAGTTCGAATGAACTAATTTCTTGGTAAACAAACAAAAGTACATTTTTCGCGAGTTACCAAGCCAGGTTGAATGTTTCGGTAGGGTGGTGGGTGGGTCGAGGTGGGCCGCTCTTTCCCCGCCTCCCCCACACACCCGTTCGTGATTGTTGATCGAGTGTGCGTC